CGGGCATTTTTTTTTGTAAATTTGTAATTCGCGAGGTCGGTGCGGATCCGTTGAGGAAGGGTGCCTTGCTGAGGCAAACGACTACACTAAACATAGACAAGTATCAACTATGACGTGAATGATCGTGACAGGAACGTGCTATAATCATGGTGCATTTTGGTATGTATTACATTGTTATATGCACATATATGTTGTGTACGTGTTGTCATGTGAATATGTGTATACATCTACCAAAAGGAAAAAATGTAGAGGATGTAGTGGGGTGGCAGGATGGTGCTAGTTGTAGCTGTGCGGTGTCTTCGCTGCCACTATCGGATATCAGCTCGTTGTTCGCCATCATAACACGTTTCTCACACACACACTCACAAATAAGTACACAAAAATAACTCGCTAAAAATGCGGCGATAACTAAGAGCGATGTTAAACGAAGTCGAAATTGCCAAAGTGTTGCTTGCTGGGTTTTGCTGCAGGAACTCTACCACTTACTACATTCCACGGTCCGGGAACGCGAAACAGCAGTTAAGACTGACAGCGGGAGGAAGCCTCCAGTCATTCTAAGAACATCGACATTGAGGTAAGCTCACACTACTAATTGAATGACTAGTCATAATCAAAGAATTGACCTCAATAACCGCTTCTGTGTTGAGCCAGAGGGCGTCTTCGAGCGAAGACAAGTCAGACAGGCCACACCCTCGGTAGCAGGCGTTTTAATTCTAGGCCTGCGATAATCAAAACTTAGTGATGATTAAAAAACAAAAAAAAAAACATCTTCCCTTAAGCTGACCAAGGTTTCGCTCATCTGCCTCCCGTCATGGCGGCACGGCGCTGACGTTTTGTAGTTGCCGGTCGTTACGCCTGATAATACAGATGCGTAACCTCGCTGACATTGTTACTGATACGTGAGATGGACGTGTGCACATGGCTAACATCCTTTGATGTCATTGCCATTATTACTTATAGCTGGCCGATGCAGATGCTGAGTAGTCCCCTGACTTCTGCCGCCGGTTTCACGGTGACGAAGCAGTATTGATATACATCCTCTGCCATTGCCGTGGTTATAGGAACGGCGCAGAAGCTAACCTCCTCACCTTTACCGTGGTTACACGGCAACGATGCATTTTAACACAATTAACATCATCTGCTATTGTCGCAGTGTACAGACGATGACGCAGATGCTAACATCTTCCGTCGTTTGCCCGTGGTTACCAGGGCGGACGCATGCAGGATGCGCCGCAGGCGCAGCGCGATTCGCTAACGCCGCGCCTTGCCGTGGGTTACAGGTGACGATGCAGACTGCTAACATCTCCATCCGTTACCGCTGGTTACAGGTGAACCGATGCAGCATGCTAACATCCTCCGCCGTTACGCTGGCTTTTACAGGTGACAGTGCAGACTTGCTTAACATCCTTCGGTCGTGTGCCATGGTTACAGGTGACGATGCAGTGCCGCTCGCAGGCTCCTGCGCGACGCAACGGCCCGCCTCGTTGGCCGGTGGTTACAGCCCGTGACGACTGCAGACGCTAACATCCATCTGCCCCGTTGCCGCTGGTTACAGGTGACGACTGCAGATGCGCTCGCAGGCATGCCGCGCGACCGCACCTTGCGCGACGTCTGCTACACGCCCGGGCCTGTTGCCGTGGTTACAGGGTGACGATGCCAGAACGCTAACATCCTCCGCCGTGCCGCTGGTGATACAATGACGATGCAGATGCGCTCGCAGGCGCGCGCGACGCACCTGCGCGAAGTCGCTAACGCCCGCCGTTGCCGTGGTTACAGGTGACAATGCAGACGCTAACATCCTCCGCCGTTGCCGTGGTTACAGGTGACGATGCAGATGCGCTCGCAGGCGCGCGCGACGCACCTGCGCGACGTCGCCGACGACATGCAAACGCTGTACGTCGCGGCGGCGGCGAGCACGTTCGAGTTTCGCGCCAAGGTCGCAGCCGTCTCGGGCGTCGTCGAGGGCGTCGTCCGCTACCACCCGTTCCTCTACGACAGGGAGACGTTCCCAGCCGAGTTCGTCGACCCCAGAGGTGCGTGGCGGTGAGAGGGGGAGGAGGAGGGAGAGGTAGGAGTAGGAGAGAGGTGCGTGGGGAGAAGGGAGGGGGAGGTACGTAGGGGGATATGTGGAGAGGTGCGTGGTGGCGGGAGGAAGAGGAAGAGAAGCGAGAGAGGCGTGCTGGCAGGAGGGCGACGAGGGAGAGAGAAGAGTGTGGTGGCGGGAGAGGGAGGAGGAAGCGAGAGGTGAAGAGGTGAGAGAGTGGTGCGATAGCGGATGAACGTGGCGCCGTCAAACGAGGGACACGATAGCAGGTAAACGTGCTCTTCATTCATCGGAAAGGAAGGGGTAGGAGTCGGCGGTTTGAGGGGGGAAGAGAGGGGGAGGTTTGTAAAAGATTGGATGGAGAGGTGTGTGGTGACAGGAGGAGAGAGGGAGGTTCGTAGAGGGGAAGGGAGGACAGGTTCGTACGTAGTGGCGAAGGGGAAGAGAGGGAGGACAGGTTCGTAGTGGCGAAGGGGAAGAGAGGGAGGGAGGTTCGTAAGGGGTGGTGGAGAGATGTGTCGGAAAGGGGGGAAGGGGAGAGGTCTCTGGAGGCACGACACATACAGGTACTTGGGTTGGGATGATGGATGGAGAGGTGCGTAGGGGATGTGGGCTGACATGGAGGTGCGCGAGGCACCAGTAAGAGAGGGACACGATAGCAGGACTCTTCATTCATTGTCCGCGCTGATCACGCGTCCGTTACAGACGTTGAGCCGGAGATCGAGGACGAGCACGACTACGCGATACCGACGACGAAAGCGCGCGGCCGACGCCCGATCTTCGACTGCTACTGGAACGGTCGCATGATTCCCTACACAACGATTCATGAGTGAGCAAACCTCGATTCTTCTGCATAGTTGCGTCTGCACAATTCTTCTACACAATTTCTTATGCATGATTTCTTCTACACAATTTCTTATGCACAATTTCTTCTACACAATTTCTTATGCACAATTTCTTCTACACAATTTCTTATGCACAATTTCTTCTGCATGATTTCTTTTGCACAATTTCTTTTGCACGATTCTTTTCCGCAATTTCTTCTGCACCATTTCTTCTTCAGCACGATTTCCTGCTCACATTTTTGTCTTCTGCACGATTCTGCACGTTTCTTCTGCACAGTTCTTCTCCACGATTTCCGCCTGCAATTCGTTTCTGTGCAATTCGTGCAGTGCCATCTAGAGGTGGATACCCTCACGGAATGGGCCGATAGTCGGCTACGATAGTCAGTGATTGACGAATGAGATTTTTAATAGTTTAAACAAAGCGCGAGAAGTCAGGCAATCACCAACTATTTAGCAGAGTCGAGTTCTTTCCCTATTGCCGTGTAAAGTGTAAATGTGACTTCACTGGTTATTTGTTGGTTTCGCAGGTTCGATTGGTGCGCACCGCCAAAGAAAGAGAAGGCGGTACCTCTAGCATGCTGGAACAGGTAAGGCCACAATTAAAAAAATCTTTGTTTGCCCTCACCCGACCCAGGGTAGGCTTTTTTTCTATAGGTAGTGTTGTGCGCTTCAGCAAGGCACCCTGTCTCAACGGGCGATCCGCACCGACGCTCGCGATATACAAATTTACAACAAAAAGCAAAAAATGTTGGACAGCGAGGGCGCTCCACGCGAGCTGGGCCGGTGACCGAGGGCGTAGGCCGTAGCGCAGGTAGTTGCACGGTGCTCTCGGCGGATGCCGGAGATCGCGACGACTGGTGAATTGCTGCTTGGCGTTTTCGCTCGGCCGAACAAGTGCGCGGCGCAGACGTCAGCGTCGCCCGGCTGCGCGAGGGTGGACCTGCCTGTCGGGCGGCGGACCTGCGAATGGCGATAGGTCATAGCGTCGGGTGCGAGTGCAAGGGTCGCGCGGCGTTGGGAAGGTCACTGAAGTGCTCATTCATGTTATATTTTTTTTCCGTTCTCTCTTGTCGCTCTCTCTCTCTCTTGCTCTTCTCAGCTCCTGCTCTCTATCTCTTTATTTCTGTCTCCCTCCTTCTTTCTCTCGTAATGCGTCCTCTATTCTTATTTTCTCTCTCTCTCTCTCTGCTTTTTTTTTCTGCTCGTCTCTCTGCGTTCTTATTTTCTCTCTCTGCTCTGCTCTTATATTCTGTCTCTATCTGTTTTTTTTCCTTCCCCCGCCGCTTCTCTCGTCTCTGGATCCCTCCCTCTGCTAGGGCTTGTAACGTCAGATGACGACTGATCACTAGATACCGATCCTTTCACCGTCTGTTAGGCAAGGTGGAGAGGGGAGAGTTTACCTTTCTGGTTTCTGATGGAAGGCCTTTCAGTATATCGCCCTGCCTTGTTTTTTCGTTTGCTGTTCCGAAAGTCGGTTCGCTTGCGATATAGCAAGCTCGGTGAACGTTCCTCGGAGTCAGCCGGCTGTTGAGAATGATCTTGTCAGGCATCGTAAAGGCATTGAGGGCAAACGAAAGGTTGGAGCCACGAGCAAGATGTATGACGGAAATAAGGTGCTGATAATCCCACACGTAGCACGCTGTTAAGCCGGATTTCTAGTCGCAAATTTCTGCATTTTGATTTTCTACAAAAATCCTCAAAGTAAAAAAACGCAAACAAGCCTATGCAATGAGGCTTTTTACAAAAGAAATAAAATGCCAATTTGATATGGTAAGAATGTCCGGTCGACAAACACAGCGTGCGGAACCGGGTTAAGCCCACGCACAAGACCGCATCCGTTCGAAGCAGCCATCTTTGGTCGCACGAGACCGCATCCGTTTGCCACCTGGCAGCTTAGATGCGACATATTATATGACTACTTAGGCCTTAGGATGACTACTTAAGGCAGAGTTTAAAAAAATAAAAAACCCTAACCCTAACCCTAACTAACCTAAACCCTAAACCTAAGATCCTAAACCTAAAAAAAAAAATTAAATTAAATTAAAGTGCCTAGTAGGTCATATAATTATCGCATCTTTTAACTTGCCGGTTTTGGCATCCGTTCGACGTTGCCATCTTTGGATCAGACGAACCGCATCAATGTTTCGACGCAGCCATGTTGATCACGCGAGCGCTGGGGGAGAGGCGCGGACGACTCACGCGCTGTTGATCGTGCCGATGAAGAAGACCGGCTGGTTGCCCGACGCCAAAGTAGGCATGATTGTCGGTGTTGTTGAGAGCGTGGCACCGTGCTCTGTCGTCTGCCGCGGGCGTCGCCGGCCTGCGCGCCCGTCCCTGCCAACATGGCACCGACCTCGCTGAATACATCAGCTAGCTTTGTTTGAAGTTCTAACCGACGCTCATAAGTATATGTGCATTTCACACAGTGAATATTTAATATTGTGAATATCATATATATATTTAATAATAATATATAATTATATTTTATATATGGACTACCACGGAGCGCATCCCTACCCGCGCAGGCACGCATGCGCACACACACGTAGTATATTTATAATTATGTATATGGGTATGAAAAAATATTGCCGCAATTTAACAAAACAAAAAACTTCGGGCACAGATGATTTGCACGATAAAACTTCTAGTGCGCGGCACAAATTCTGTCCCGCTTGGCAATGTTGTGGTTTATAATTTTTGCTACGTATGCTACACATCCGGCCGGCTATTCCTTTGTGGAACTTTGAAGTATGTTAGTATGCCCACTCGTTCAGCTCTGCTCGACGTCTATTTGCCCTTGCCCGTTGTCAATGACACAGACCATTTGTTCCGGCCCTGCTTCTGGGTTAACATCTGCGCAATGGCGGACGCTTGGCAAAAATTCGACTTCACTTGTCTAAACATGTCAGCGTATGAAATGCCATTGGATTATTTGCAAATGCATTGAAGAAACTGTGCTGTCTCTCTCTCTCTCTCTCTCTCTCTTTATTTTCTCGCTAGCCAACTTGTAACCTCTCGTTCTCCGTCACCCTTCTTTCTCTTTCTCTCTTTCTCTCTCTCTCTCTCTCTCTCTTTCTCTCTCTCTCTCTCTCTCTCTCTCTCACTCTACCTCTCCCCCTTCTCTCTCCCTTTCTCTATCTCTTTCCTTCTCTCTCTCGTCTCTCTCTCTCTCTCTCTCTCTCTCTCTCTACCTCTCCCCTTTCTCTCTCCCTTTCTGTATCTCTTTCCTTCTCTCTCTCTCGCACTCTCTCTCTCTCTCGCTCTCTCGCGCTCTCTCTCTCGCGCTCTCTCTCTCTCTCGCACTCTCTCTCTCTCTCTCTCTCGTGCTCTAGTTCTCATATGCTCTCCTTTCCCCTGTTCTCTCCTCGCTTCCTCATCCTCTCTCTCCTACCTTCTCGTCTCACTATGACAACTGACACTCGCCACTGCACAGACAACTCACCAGTCTCAGCTCGATGTGCCTCGGCCCATCGTTCTGTGACGTCGCGGCCAGAGAGTTATCGATGAGCTCAGCAAACGCGTACGCTGCGTGGAAAGAGAAACGACGATGGACGACACTTCACACACGGCGTGGCGCTGTAAAATTTTAATTTTTTAACGGACGAAAAGCGGCCAAACGATTTACTCGCCCCCGCCTAACTTATCTATAAACTACGACCTAATCTGTAAATTTATTAGTTTCGCGTTCACCGCCGCTGCAAAATGTCGCACGGGCTCCGGCTCAGACCAAACGACTGCCGCCAATTCAACGGGTCACCGCTGCCACTGTGTATTGTAGGGGGAATTGTGTTCCTTGCGAGGGAGGCGTACGAACAACGACGACGCTCTCCTGCAATCGCAGCAGTGCCGCCGTGAGGGGGCGCCACCGTGCGTCGCTGCTAACACAGCGAGGGGGCGCCACCGATCGCCGCCGCGTACGTACGTAGTGGGTTGTGTCCCTCGG